ACACACACACACACACACGCACACACAGGTCAACCTATCCATAACAGAGAACGAAGAAACATGGTATAAAAACAACATCGCCATCAAGCTATCCAAATGTACTGAGCCCAGAAAATAAAATCTTTTCAGGACAGAAAAACAAAAACAAAAAACGGTTTCATTCTTTAAACTATTGTCCCCACATAACATCTTTTTTCCCTTGCCCTTTTTCCCCAATATTTATTAAAAATCTGAATTTCAACACAATATTTCTTGAGCGCATGAAACCAACACCACAGATTAAGAAATTGTAATATATACTTTGTTTGTATATTTTTTTTTTGTTTTGTTTAAACGTTTGAGCTAAGCACATCTGAACAGTTGGCTGGCACTATGATGTCAACGTCATTCAACAGTGTCGTATGTCAAACTTTTGAAAAAAAATAATAAAAACCAAGAATTTTGTTCAGTTTGAGTTTGATGACAAGCCTCGACTGGTCCTAGTCTCACCCCTCTTTCTAAAATTTAACGGATTTAATTCTAGTTTTAGTAAGAGTTTTACAGCACTTGCAACACTATAGGTTATATTATAAGTGCCGAAGATTAAAGGTGTTACAATAGAGGAACATACACAGAAAAGAAGGAGGGGAGATAAGGATGATTGATGTTGGAAGGAAAGAAGAATAAAAAAACCCACACCAGAGCACCCGCCAACCACTCACTAACTGATTTAGACGAATTAAACATAATTTTTAAAACGATATTAACAGAATGTACTGCCCGAAATAAAACCTTAAGTAGTTTGGTTCTCCCGAAAAACTCGTATTTTGACATTTTGACATTTTGACATAGGACGGTGACGAGTGACGACGACGAGGATGTACGTTTAGTGAGTTTACCTCCATGGGTTCGGGGGACGAGACGGGTATGACGGCCGCCCTCACCACCAGCACGTCCGCCCATAGCGTGAGCAGTGTGAGCAGCAGGCACGTGTTCACGGCTCTCCAGGTCCTCACACTCACACTCATGATTTCACTCGGG